TTGTGTATATATACCACATCTTCTTTATCCACTCATCAGTCGAGGGACACTTGGGTTGCTTCCACTTCTTGCCTATAGTGAACAATGCTGTGATGAACATGGGGGTGCATAAGCCTCTTTGGATTGTTGACTTCAAGTTTGTTCAATAGATACCCAGAAGTGGGATAGCTGGATCATAAGGTATTTCTATTTTTAATTTTTTGAGGAATCTCCATACCGTTTTCCATAGAGGCTTCACCAGTTTGCATTCCCACCAGCTGTGGATTAGGGTTACCGTTTCTCTACAGCCTCTTCAGCGTTTGTTGTTTTTTGTCTTGGTGTTTATAGCCATTCTAACAGGCGTAAGGTGATATCAGTGTAGTTTTGATTTGCATTTCCCTGATGATTAGTGATGTTGAACATCTTTTCATGTGCCTATTGGCCATCTGTATATCTTCCTTGGAGAGGTGTCTGTTCATATCCTCCTGGCAGGACAAATTTTGATTGGAATGCCTTTGAACAAGACCATTTATGGCAAGGTATGGAAAGGAGCCTTACCACTGGATCTTCTTGGACCATGCACCTGTGGATCTTGAAAAGGTTCCAACTTTGAAGTTCTTGGTCCTTTGTTTTTTTTTGGCAGTTGGGGGAGCCTTTGCTTCTGACTGTTACTGTAGGTCAAAATCCTCCCCTCCGGGCATGCCTCAGCTACAGGACTTGCAGTTTTGTCGCGCTGTCCCTGCCAGATAACTTAGACATACTGTTATGGATGTGATAGGGCCAGTTTGAACCAGTCCTGTGGTTACAAACTGTGCTGTAACCTTTATAACACTGACTCCTTGGAATAACCATCAGAAAAAACGGGAAAGAAGGTTTTCTCTCATGTGGGTCATGACTTGCTGGGACGGGTCCTTCCCAGCAACATGGGACTGAACAAATCTATGCTGGATAAGCAATGCTTTCAGAAAGAATTGTCCATTAAAGGAGTTAAACGTGAAATATGAAACAAAACGGGGTGATAAGTGCTTTAAAATGGAGCCGGGAAGCCATTAAGGAACAAGATTTACATCAGGCAGAACATAAACTTTGAACTGAGTGAAGTCACAAATACTCCGAGAACTTGGCAGGAAAACGGCAGCTCATCACAGTGGCGGGCTGTTGCCTCCCTGGAGGTAGCCTTAGCCATTGATTAAGATTAGCCAAGACCAGCTTTCTCCTGCCCACCCTGATTAACATTCTTTCTAAGGCAAACTTTCCTCTTTTGCCTTTATTTATTTTGTTTATAATTTTTTTTAATTTATTTTTTCTTCCCCAAAGCCCCAGTAGATAGTTGCATGTCATAGCTGCACATCCTTCTAGTTGCTGTATGTGGGACGTGGCCTCAGCATGGCAGGAGAAGCCGTGCGCGCCCGGGGTCCGAACCTGGGCCTCCAGCAGCGGAGCGCGGGCACTTAACTGCTAAGCCACTGGCCGGCCCTTCCTCTTTTGCCTTTAAAACCCCTGCCTCCGTGGGGGGTGGGGGGTGGAGACACGACACACAGAGGGGCTTGCTGCCAGACGGGGGAGGGGGGTGGGACGGGGGACCCACTTGAGCTTCGGTAACAGCACTCGTGGTCGTCCAGGGACGAGTCCTGCGCGCAGGGGGGCCGCGGGGTCCCCCTTCCCACCGGGGCGAAGGCCCCCAGACCGCAGGTTTGACCTCAAGTCCCAGAGGAGGAGCGGGGTGTCCGTGTCAGATGTCATAGGTCAAAACCGAGCCCGACCCAGGCTTGCAGGCGGTGACATCAGTGTTACCTGTCTTTGCTCTGAAAAAAGGGTCACACATCCGCGGTGACTGCGCCCCTGGGCCGACCACGGGGGTCACCGCGCCCCCTGTGCCGTCCTGTCCCGTCTGCTGCCGAGGGGCGCTCCAGGGAAACTGAGTCAGGACTTCCCGTTCCAGGAGGAGGACGAGGAGGGGCCGCGGAGCTGCAGGCAGATGCAGCATCTCCCCGGCGGGAGCGGGTTCAGCTCGGGGCGACGACTCGGGCGCGCGGGTGCGAGTCCGGTGAGGAGACCGGGCAGGGAACGGCGGAGGCCGGGGACCCTCGTTTACGCCCCCCTCAGCCACGTGACCGCCGCCGCCTCTCACTCCAGGGACAGGAACACTGTCCAATCAGGGACGAGGAGGGCGGGAGCGGAGAACAGTGGGACTCAATCAGGGGAGAGAGGAGGTCTTGGGCACCGGACCAATCAGGGCCCGGTGGTGGGTAGGAACCATGTCCAATGGAAGTGCGCGCCAGAAATGCCGTCCAATCAGGACACAGGATCCTGGAGCCCCGTCCAATCAGAGCCGGGGGCGGGCGCGCTCGCACCCGCGTGGACGTCGCTCTCCTCCCGCCGCCTCCCCGCGCGCACCTGCACCGCGCGGCCCCCGGTGTCCCGTCCCCGTCGCTCTCACCTGCCGGAGCCGCGGGGAGGACGCCCGGAGAGTCCGGAGCGGGCGGAGATGGTGAGTGCGCGGGCCGGGACCGGGAGGGGCTGGTGCGAACCGGCTGGAAGCGGCCGCGGGCCCGGGTAGTTCTCCACTCCCAGCCGCCCCCCACCCCCGAATCCTCGGCCGCGGGGAGGGTCCCGGCTCCCGTCCCGGCCCCGCGTGGGGTCCCGG